CTCCTTGCTCAATGTCAAACCATTGCTCGGTGTCAAACCACTCCATTAATTCCCATGAATGTTTTATTTCCATCGTATACCACTTTTCTCGGATTTAGCAACAAACCTTCATATTGTTGCAAAACATTTCATAATTCAAGCCTATTTATGTTATGATATGTTTTCTTCAAACACATGCAAAAAACCTTCCTTTTTCACATTCATAATCTCAGTGACTTGTTGAAGAGCAAAAATCTGATTTGCACTCTACTGGCCCGCAAAAGCCTCGTTGCACTTCCCAAATTTTTCTCACTGTCACCTTTCATACCCTTTCAGTCATACTTAATGTTAGATGCCTTTCCAGGAACACTTAATAAGCTAATCTGGTAGTTTTAGTATTCATGATTATCTTTTCTTTTGTATCAGGGGTCAGTAATTACATGCCTCCAATCATCATGTCCAGATGAAGTCTTTATATACATTTTAAACAAGTTTTAGGGCCATTCTGTATGCAACTCACACCTATATTTAGTATTTCTGCAAGTATACCTTCTATACTTGCAATCTTATATCTTTCATTTTCTTCTAAATCCATTTTTCCATGATCCACTCTTAATAACCTGTCTCATATTCAGATCTTCCCATCTCTCTTGTATCCTTCAATAATTCTGGAAGTAATTCTCTCGTGAGATGGGTGGTATCCAAATTTTAAATATAAATATAAATAAATAAATAAATTCATCATAAATATCAAATCATTGATGCTTTAGTTTCATTCCTTTACTGTGTGTGCACATGAATAGACTAATGCTTGAGCAATGTATTTAGAACAGACCTTTTCTAAGCAGATTCTTACCAGACTATCACCATTTTTATTCATTCCTAGGTCTTCGAAGGGCCCAGTCACATTTTTGGTATTATCTCATCCTGTTCCCACTCATCCATTTATATCACCTTACAGAATAACTTTTTCCCCAAATTGCATTGGTTTAAGATAATATACTTTATTTATTTCTTTGGATTTGGAGGCAGCCTGACTCCTAGATGACTCTAGGCAGCTTATATCCAAAGACAGGAAACAATAAAATAGAAAAAAAAACCTTACATGTCTAAAGAACCAACACACCAACCCCCCTGCCACACACACACACACACACACACAACAACCATCAGGAGCACGGCAGCCATCCTGACCCCAGGCCTGAGAGCAAAGCCAGGTCTTCAGAAACTTCCAGAACAACTGAAGGGTGTGAGCCATATGAATCTCCATGGGGATGCTGTTCTAGAGGGCAGGTGCTGTGACAGGAAAGGCATTTCCTGGGTCCTAACAGGTGATGTTGTTTAATTGAGGGGACCTGGAATGTACCCACTCTGCCCAATCTTACTGGCTGGGCATAAAATACTGGAGATAGGGAATCCTTTAAATAATTAGGTCCTATGCCATGAATGGCTTTATAAGTAAATAACCAGTATCTTGAATTGCATCTGGGAACCAACTGGGAACCAGTGCAGCAGAGCACTAGTAACACGCAGGTGTATCATGGCATACTGATCACTACCTGTGCCACCACATTCTAAACCAGTTGTGTAGGTATGTATGTATGTATGTATAAGTGTGTGTGTGTGTGTGTCTGTCTGTCTGTCTGTGTCCATCCATCCATCCATCCGTTTCCAGAACAGCTGCAAGACTGGAAGTTTTCACTTTTAGTTTAAATTAACCGTACTTCTGTTATGCCCAAACATGGAGCAGTATTTAATCTTAAAATATTACAGTAGAAGGGAAAGGTTTTAGTTTGAAGTAGAATTATTTCATTAAGCCATAGTTATAAGGAACTTAATCAGATTTGGACCTTGTAACTATCTTCAGACAGTATTTAATAGATACAAGACTTTAGGTATCCATGCAGACAGCTGTTTTGCACTCCTTTTACACTGTAAACAATGCAATATTTCATTCATAATAGTTTCCTGCTTTGTGTAAACTGGGAAAGTAATATTGTGTAACTTCAGAACAAGCCAAAATATGAAACAACATTAATATAATTTAAATATCCATGCTGAATCCAAAATTAGAAACCAACCTTGGTTAATGAGTTTTCCTGGATTTTATGTGACAACAGGAATTAATTGAATGATATATACATACACATACACACACAAAACATAAAAACATAATTAGTGTCCAGCTAGGTTGGACTCCTGGCTCATCTAGTCCAGCAATCTGTTCTCACAGTGGCCAAACCAACTGCACAGTCTACTAGTTTCCCAGCAGGCTGCTTTACTCTATACCACAAAAACAAACTTGTAGTGACCAGATAATTAGTAAAACATTACATGCCTGGAATTTATCCATTCTCCTTTTCCCTATTTTATTAATTTATTAAACTCTACAAATATGTGATACTGTAAAGAAAATACTAGAATTTGTATGATATATTTTTGACTGTGTGCAGTAATCACATTCCTTTCTGCCTACTTTGTAAGGTTAAAGCAGTGGAGCTTTATGTAAGACATGGATAGATGCAAACATGTTGGGCGGCTAAGACTTGCCCAGGATCATTCCATTCTGAACCCCCAGAAGTGGCACTGCATGGACTGTAACACCACGGAATCCATTTGGGCTTGCCTAAAATGTTCCCATGTGGCCTGTGGAAGATATATTGAGGACCATGCACTTAAACACTTTGAAGAGACCAGGCATCCTTTGGCTATGGAAGTAAATGATCTGTATGTATTTTGTTACCTTTGTGAAGACTATGTATTGAATGATAATCCCGAGGGTGACCTGAAATTACTGAGGAGTTCTTTGTCTGCGGTTAAAAGTCAGAAGCATGATCCTTCTGCTAGAAGTGGTAGGACACTACGGTCAATGGCTTTGGGGGAAGATGTTTGCAACCATCAAAGAGCCCCTCAGGGACAACCTCAGATGCTTACTGCTCTCTGGTATAGACGGCAGTCGTTGCTTGCAAAAGCATTGCGAACATGGTTTGATAAGAGTTCTAGAGGCCAGCGAAAACTAGAACAAAAGAAGCAAATGGAAGAACTGGAGAGGAAAAAAGAAGTGGCCAGGCAGCGGCGTCAAGAGATGAAACGGAGATTGTTGGAGGAGCTGGCAAACACTCCTCCAAGAAAAAGTGCTAGGCTTTTATCGCACATTCGCAGAGAGAATCTGATTCCTCGGAAGTTCAGAGATATGGAAGCAAGTTCCCCTACCTCAAGACGAGTGCAGAGTAGCAAATTCAAGCAATTCTATTCCATCCGGCGTAAACCTCTCATGACTCCTGGTGTGACTGGACTAAAGAATTTGGGAAATACGTGCTACATGAACTCTATCCTTCAAGTATTAAGTCACCTCCAGAAATTTAGAGAATGTTTCTTGACGCTGGATCTTTGTGAAACTGAAGAACTCTTAGCTAAGACTGTGATTGGAAAATCTAGAATGTCTGGAAAGCTAGTCAGTGGACCTACTCCTACTGAGTCAGGCAGAAATGATCAACTGGGTTCATTTGGCAGGCAAAACCTGTCTGTTGGTTTAAATGGGGGGTCCTCAATAAGCAAAAGTTTAGAACTAATACAGCCCAAGGAGCCAAGTTCAAAGCACATCTCTCTTTGTCATGAACTGCACACACTCTTCAGAGTCATGTGGTCTGGGAAGTGGGCTTCAGTGTCTCCTTTTGCCATGTTACACTCTGTGTGGAGTTTGATTCCAGCATTTCGGGGTTATGATCAGCAAGATGCTCAGGAATTTCTTTGTGAATTGTTGGACAAAGTGCAGCAAGAGCTGGAATCTGAAGGAACAAAACGCAGGATCCTCATCCCTTTTTCACAGAGGAAGCTTACCAAGCAGGTCCTGAAAGTGGTGAACACCATATTTCATGGGCAGCTACTCAGTCAGGTATGCATGTTATCCAATCCTTTGCCCAGCCAGAAATACTTATTTTCGTACATAGAAAAAGAATTAAGATATTTTTCCAATGCAGTATAAATGTTGCATGATTCTTTTTCTCTAGTTTCAGCCAAAGATGGGCTTTTAAAATTTAGCAGAGAATTGTGTGTGTGTTTGTGGTTTGATTTGATTCATCCCCTTCAGGCTCTTGTTGCTGTTAAGGTTTTTATGACCACTATAGGTGGGACTGTTCTTTCTTCTTTCCTTGATTATGCATCCTTAAGTATCCCAGCCATACTTTCATATGACTCCTACAAGCTTTATTATTTCTTCAAAAGAATATTTTGATAAAATGAGGCTGGCTTTACATTTTAAGTCAGAAAGGATCTTTGCAAAAACAATTACCTTTTTTTTAAAATAGCATTTAATATTCTGTGGGTTTTTTTCACTTACATATTATATAGATATTATGAGCTGGTTCTTGTGTAAATTCAGATCCTTGTAGTTTGGCATTATGCTTAATGAGCTTCAGTCTTGCGAACTCTGCTGTCTTTTACAGTCTCTGATTTCTTCCCTAATGTTCAGGCTATCTATAGCAGTCCACCACTTTTCCTAACACTGGAAGTGTGGGAAAAAGTCATAATGAGGGATTGCTCAAAGCTGAAGCTCATATACTGTCAAATCATTATTTTGTATTACATAGAGCAGTGTTGCAACTTGCCTCCAAGTTTCATAAACCTGGCAAATTGAATAACACATTTTCTTTATTTAACCTGTTTTATGTCACTGACTGTTATGATAAATACATGCATCATATTTGTTCTTTTTAGGAAGAAAATAGACAAAAAGAACTCTTTATGTATTGAAGAGCTATACTGCCGTTATATAATAAGTAAAATACATTTGAGCATACAAATACATTAAAGAACTGGAGTTTATGCTTGTACTGCTTGGGAAGTATAGCTGATGGATAGTAGTGAACATGCCCATTCATTCCAGCTGCTTTTTTAGCAACTGTTCCTGGCTTTTTGGAGAAGGACCAACTTAAACAAGCCATATATTATGTTTTAGATTTGTTTCTCAGTTTGGAAGAGTAGGGTTCAATGACATGATCAATATTATAATATTGAGGAGGTACTTGGAATGGTACTGAGATCAGGAACATTCATGACTAAACATAAGCTACCTTTATGATGCTTGAATGTTTCTCATTATAGTGAAAAGAAAGTTCAAATGTAGTAATAGGCACCTTTTCCAGCTGGAGGCCTCACTTTTTTTTCTGTTTTTTTTTTCCTTTCTGTCAGCTGAAGGCCAGAGGAACAGAACAGTAATACCATACCACTGTACAGGGCACAGTTGGAATGGGGATGGAGGGTAGGATGTGTGTTTGTGTGTGCGCGCGTGTGCATACATACATACATACTTTCCTACCCCAGTCCTGCTACTGTTATTTAGCAGTTGACCACATTTCAGCAGTGCAGTACTGGGTAATTCCAGGGATCTAGAAATCACATTCAGCTTACTCCTGCTTAATTGTTAAATAGTTTGATTTTTTAAAACGTTTTAAAATTAACATCTGATGGATTTTATGTTAACAGAATAGTCTTTGTATTAGGCACAGATTTCAATAGGGCAAAATCAATTCTTATAGTAGAGAGTTGTGTGAAGGTAGTAAAATCACATCTTATACTAAAGAGTTGTATGAAGGTAATAAAATCACACAGTATAATTTTTTTTAAGATGATTCCTTTTATCTGAGAATTTTAAAACAGAATCTCTATCTTATGGATGGTTACAGATTTGGCTCATTCAGACTGGAAAAAAAGTCCATGGGAATCACCATTTTTGTCTCTATTGAAATGTTCTGATATTCTTTTTTGCTTGATAGGTCACTTGTATAACGTGTAACTATAAATCCAATACTGTGGAACCCTTCTGGGATCTTTCCCTGGAATTTCCTGAACGCTATCACTCTATCAATAAAGGGATTGTGCCTGTTAATCAGACGGAGTGCATGCTGACTGAAATGTTGGCCAAATTCACAGAAACAGAAGCTTTGGAAGGGAGAATTTATGCATGTGACCAGTGTAACAGTAAGAAAAGTCTATTTTGGTATATGTTCTCATTGAACCTGATGAGAAATGTGCTTATATGCTTTTATAATTCTATAGCTCAGTCTTTTTCAAAAAGGTGCTTCCAGATGTATGGGATGTCAAGTCATAGAATTCCCAGTCAGTATGGCCATAAGTCCTGCTGGCTGGGAAATGTGGAAATTCAAGTCCAGCACATCTAGATAATACCAGATGAGCAAAGCTGATATAGGTTCTCTTTTATGATTTTTAAATTACCACGAAAGAGTTCAGGAAAGTTGTTAATAATGATATTTACATAATATCATCAATGACTGCAGATGATCATAGATTGTAGAAGAGTTTCACTCCCATAAAGAACTGTCAACAGATCTGCGGTGCCTTGTATCTCCCTTCCCCCCCCAAAAAAAATAAAGCAAAGAAAATAAATCTATCATTTTTCTGCCAGATTGCTGAGATGTCTAATAGGTGTGCTGGAGACACAAGAAAACAACATTTCTTGACAGAGACTGATTTCTCTCAAAGGAAAGAAATAGTTAGCTATAGTCCCTTAAAAAGGACAGGGCTGGATGAGGCTCCACAATTGCATGGAGCCCTTAAGCTTTTGTTTTGGAATGTCCAGAATTTTTTTCAGCCACTGTTGTCAGAAACCAGAGATACAGTTTATTGCCATTTTTAGGAGGCAGTCAAAACCTATGTTTTTAAGGCATAAATAAGCTTAGTTTAATTGAAAAGCAAATACAAAACCCTAAATCCCCACTCTACAAAGAAGAAAAAAACATAAAAATCTGGGCCTATCCAAAAAGAGTATATGCCATGATCTTGCCCACTTTGCTTCACTGATCAACCATTGTAATCCTGCCCCCTTAAAAAAAATGTACAGTGGCCCCTGGTCATTAAAACATTGCCCAACCTTGCCCTACAACCCTAGCGATAGTCCCTAGAAACCTTCCAGATTTTGCTATCAAATTTTAATCTTTGAAAAGACGAAAGGGAAAAATAATTAAATGTGTCTTTGGAATAATTGTTACATTTATAATTAAATCTTTTCCACGCTAATTCTCTGTTTGGAAACTATCCAGTTTTTGGAGTACAACCAAAAGCACATATATAATCAATAGTCTAGCTACCCTAGTTTTAGGATTTTTTACTTTCTGAAAAGTGAAAGGAATGGCATATGGGGAGAAAGCAATACAAGTAGTTCTCAGGTTACAATGGCATTTGGGACTGGAACTTCTGTCACTAAGTGATGCAGTTGTAAAGTGTGATGTCACGTGACCGCATCACTTAGGGATGGCAATCCTGGCAGTTCTGGTTGCCATCATAACCCCAGGATTGTGCAGGTCATTAAGCAGGAAGAGGCAGGAGTCCCAGGCAAGCACAGGGGTGTGTGCGGGTGCCGCGGGGGGGGGGGGGGGCC